GTTTACTCTAAAACTACAGTTTTAGATTAAACTACAGTTTATTTATATTAACTAATAGTTTACGGATCACATCTCTAGGGCAATATAAGAAATAAGCTTCGCTAATGATTAGTAATCATTAATTTTTTAATAGCGGAGTTGCGGGGTTTGCGAAGTTTTTTTGCCCACCTATTCTATAGAACATCTACACTTTCATATTTGATAAAATATGAGTGTTCCAATTTGTTATTTTTTTAAACACGTGCTGTAAATGAGTGAAAAAAGCACGGGTTGTTACATAAGACCCGTGCAATATTTTTTTCGGAATATCATTTTACTGAAGATCATTCCCCAGCACTTTATTTCCCTGACAATTTATTCACACTAATTAAGTTCATGAGCATATAAATAACATTTGAAACAATCTATTAAAGTTCATAACAATTGACTAATTAATTTCATTTATTATACTGCAGTGAGCGAGTACGTGTACAAAGAACATTTATTAATCTAAATATTTAAAGTGAGTCGTTAAGATTTACAATTTAATTTTATTTTATTAACGTCAGGTCCATTAGTATAATAAAATAAGTATTTAAAATAAACAATTTATATTAATGAATTTTTATTATTTAAGTTAATGAATATTTACTAATTAATTTCAATTTATTCATATTAATTTGGCGCGAGTATTAAGTTAAATATTTAAATAAGTTATTTAAGTTTAGGAATATATAAAAGTTTACTATTTTATTTGCATTAATTAGCATTAAAATTTTTGATTAATTTAAGAATTGAGGAAATAAATAACTAAGATGAAAATATAAAACGTATTAGTTGCGAAATATATGCTCATTGTAGTGTAATTTTGAAATAATAATTAAAGAATAGAAAAGTGAAAATGAGGATACTGATGATTACATGAAATGGCTTCTATTTAGAATTACTCATATTGATGTATAATTAAATTGGATTGCATTGAAAGACTAAGCAATATTAAAAACTGGCAAAGAAGCTCTGCATTTTCTGCAACCTAATAGGAAAAGCATGCATAAAAATCAATGCCAAGTGAAGAATAAATAGATGAGGTCACAAAAATTATCCAATATCGTCGCACTTAACTCTTTTCATGACAAGTTGATAGTTACTAAATTTTAAAGATTAAATGCCCTGCTTTACAAAGAATTCTGTACTTTCACTTTTCAAAACTAATTTGAAGTTAATATCCGCCTGATGTTGTAACTGGAGTTGTGATTAACTGACTTAACTGACTGAAATTAGCCCTTGAAATTCGATGTTTTTGCCATATTAGCAATAAAAGCTAAGCAATTTTAAGTCAAATGCTTGAATTTGCAATCTCAGGCAAAAGCTACCTTCAGGCGCAACATTATTATTTTTAATCGCTTAAAACTGAACTTATTGGAGCAATATGATAAACCCATGTTTCATAAAGCTATCAAACTTTACAAATTTATATAACGCGTCATTTTAATGTACTCTTAATAAACTGAACAATAAATAGTTTTTAAAAAATCATAGTGATTTCTCTTAGAGAAAGGTGTTAAAAAGTATTAACAAAACATTTGTAAAGACTCTTTTGACCTTGCCCATTATTTCAAAAAAATAATATTTTTTGTATATTTACATTTCTTGAACTTTGTTACGTATATAAAAAATGATATCCATACATAGATTCGGATACACCCTTTCACTTGCCATATAATCATACACATCATTTTATTCCGTAAAGAATTATTTATTTCAAATATATAATAAACCCAAACTCATTGATACAATCTACAATCTATAAACCAAGATTTATTATGATTGACAGATCAAAGGCATTTTTTTTCTTTAAAAAGAAGTTCGCCAGGAGTATAATCTTTTGATTCTTTTTACACTGTGAAATCTGACGTAATCAAAAAGTACTATAAAGTATATAAATAATTGTATCGTCAAAAAGCACTTTAAATTATATAAATGATTATATTATCAAAAAGAGCCTTTAAAGTATATAAATGATTATATTATCAAAAAGAGCTTTTAAAGTATATAAATAAGTTATCCAGCATTTTATATAATCATGTGAAATTTTGCCATGACATTTTTTGCACGAAATTACGTAATCAATTGTGCAAAATATCAAGAATACATCATTTAATCGGAGTTAAGTACTTCCACGCAGCACATGGGGTGACATTAACTCTGACAAAAAAATTTTTCCGCCTACTGCCCAATAATATATACTTAAGTTACGCACGCAATCCTTGTTTCGATTGACAAGGGTGATCTGAAGCATTAGACAATTTATTCACATGATAAAACAACAAGAACAAGGAAGAAAGTGGAAAAAAATGATACTAATAATAAAATAAACGAGTAAGTAAAAATTACGTTCGTGGTTTGGACGGTATTACTTAGATATTTAATTATAACCAATTATAACCAATTATAATATTAAGGAGTTTACTATAATAGAAGGGGTACTATGATTACTACGTAGGATTATTACGTATACTATTTTTACCCGGATCTTTTACTAAAAAGCAAGTGGTGAATATTTAATTCTTAAAAATCACTATGGAGAAGTAACTATTAGAAAAAATATTAGTAAATTAATCTACGTACTTATGTACGTACGTACTTAGTTATATCTAAATGTTATTTATGGACTAGCTGGTATGTGCTCATGTACGTATGTACGTACGTACGTACGTCGTGCAAAGTGTATATCCGTATGAAATTCGCATTTTTCTTGTGCACGTACGTACGTACGCACGTACGTAGTTAAGCAGACATTAAAGTGTTTAAGGTTTTTTTAAAGTTTTTAAGTTTTTAAATATAATTAAAAGCCTATTTTGATAACATACCATAGTTTTTTCGATTTTTAACGGCTGCCCTACGTTGTTTAGTGCGTCGGGAGTGCGTGAGCATAACCCGGGTTTACATAAAGAGTGCATCTTCCTGCATTGCAAATACAAAGTAAATTTTTCAATAATGTTATTTTATATTCACAATGCAGGAACGTGCAATCCCGACGCACTAAAAGAGGTAGTAAAAATCGAAAAAATTCTGTGCTTAGGCACATATGTGCGTACACTCAAAATACCTTATTGACTATATTGTTAATTATTTTGCTTTGATTATATTATAAAAATAAAGTTATTAATAACAAAACTAGGTACCATATAAGTTGTGTTAAAATACAATTGATACATTTTCGGTGATACTTTTTTTGCTATTGGCTTATGTCAGATAAATGAATTTTAAAAAATATAATTTTTTAATCTATATATAGATTTTCCTATCTTTAGTTTCGTAATTAACATGCCGTGTCAGGAGATCGCTTGGCATTATTTTAACGGTAACGGTAAGCTATATGCTATTTTATCGTATATAAGCTTGTTTTTTTTCTCTAATCCTTTTTTCTTAACTTACTCGATTAAAAATGCCTTCCTTGTTAACCTTAATCTATATTTTACTTTATTTATTTCTTTTATCCTTTTCGAATGCTTCTTTACCTTCATCATACCCATCAATTTATGATTACTGTCCGGAAGGCAAAGAAAGAATTTTTGATCTTACTCTCAGTAAAGGAACTATGGCTCCTGATGGTTTTACACGAGATATGTTACTCATAAATGGTCAATTTCCTGGTCCTCTTATTAGCGCCTATAAAGGTGACACGATAGTGTTGAATGTTAAAAATGAGTTGGATGAAGATACTTCAATTCATTCTCATGGAATGTTCCAACGCGGAACTCCTTGGTATGATGGTGTCCCTGGACAAACTGAATGTGGAATTCCTGCGGGTAGAACATTCACCTACAAATATCGAGTTTGTCAAAGTGGTACTTTTTGGTAGTAAGTAATCTTAAAATTTCTGTCACATAAACTATCAAATATATTCTCTTTGATTTTTAAAATACATTTTTTTAAAAAAAAATAGCCACTCGCATTCAAAAGTCCAATACGTCGAAGGGCTTATTGGTCCCCTTGTAATTTATGATCATGAGGATCCTTATCATGATCATTATGATGAGGAAATTATTGTGCAATTACATGACTGGTTTCACACCGACGCTAAAATTTTATTAGCTAAATTATTAACTCCTGAGAGTCAAGGGTTTGGTCCAATTCCTGATAGTGGATTGATTAATGGAAAGGGTACTTTTAACTGTTCGTCGGCTCCGCCTGGTAGTCATTGTGTTAGTGATGCTCCATTAGAACAGTTCAAATTTGTTCATGGAAAACGATACAGAATTAGAATTATTAATGCTTCGTAAGTTTTTCTTTCTTTTTTTTTTATCATTGTAACTCCATTTATTTATTTGTTTATTTTTTATTTATTTATATGCAAATAGTTCGCTTCCTACTTTTATTTTCTCGATCGATGGACATGAATTGGAAGTAATTGAAGTTGAAGGGATGGCGATTAAACCTTACAAAGTTAATCGTCTTCCTATTAATGTTGCTCAACGTTATTCAGTCATTGTGAAGGCCAATAAACCGGTGGATTCGTATTGGATGCGAGCCGAAATGCAAACTGTTTGTTTTCCTATCCAAAATCCCGTCCTCAATCCTATGGTAAAAGCTATCGTTACATATGAAGGAAGTGCAAAAGAAACTCCAGTATCAACTGCATGGAATGATAAAGTTACAGATTGTGTAGATTTGGACTATAAGGAACTAGTTCCTTACCATGAAGAATACGTTCCTGAAGCTGATACTACAATAAATGTATTTGTTAATTTCCGTCGGGATGAAAAGAATATCACTATGGGATATGTAAACAATTCAACTTATGTAGCAGACATGAAATATCCTACAATTGGCAAAGTTTTTAATGGTGTGACGCAGTTTGCACTTAATGATAATGCTTTCGTAATTGAACAAACTCAAGTTGTAGATGTTCTTATATTAAGTACGAATAATTAACTTTTTACCAACTATCAAAAATTGCTTTTTTTAATTTTGTTATTAATCGAGTTCTGTTATTATTTGTTTTTAATTAGAAATAAGTACTTATTAATTTACTTTTTATCAACTACCAAAAATTGCTTCTTTTTTAATTTTTGTCATTAATCGAGATTTGTTTTTAATTAACTAGACAGAGACGCTGGGGAACATCCATTTCACATGGTATATATTCTTACTAATTAATTAATTATTAAGAAAATAATTACAGTTAACCGAGGGGATACGTTCCCTTATTTTTTTATGGTCAGGGTGCAGTTCTAAAAAAATAGGGTTAGGGTTAGATTTTTGTGGGTTCTGATTAGTACTCCTTAGATGTGTTAGCTAGTATGCTATTAATATATAGCACCTCGGTGAATTTTTCCCCAGTTAAAATTAGCAATTCTCTTAATTATTAACTAATTAATAATTAATACGCAATTAACAAGTAATTAACAAGTAATAATAACTAATTTTCTCTAATTTTTAATTAGCACGGTTATGCATTCTGGGTACTTGGTACTGGTGGAAATGGCACTCTGCCAGATTATAAAGTAAACCTGAATACCCATAATCCAATAAAACGGGATACTATTACTATTCCTTCTGCTGGGTGTGTTGAGTTTTTGCTTCTTTTGGTTTTATTTATAATCTATAAATTTAACTTTGTAATAATTTATTTGTAATCAGATGGGCCGTTATCCGATTTATATCAGATAATCCTGGTGCTTGGGGATTCCACTGTCATATTGATGTAAGTTATTATCTTTTTTATTCCAAATTTTTATTATAAATTTATTTTTGACCCTATATATATATATATTTATAGTGGCATGTCGAATTAGGATTAGTTGCGCAATTCGTTACACGACCGGATAAACTTATGGAATTTAATCCACCTGACGATTGGAAAGAATTATGTTCAGGATCAAATTATGAATATAATGAATAGATAGATTATACCTGAGTTATATCTCAACAGTATATCCTAACTTTAGTTATATTATCACTAGCACTTCAAGTATATATACATAAAATATTATAATAATAAAATAGAGTAATAATAATAAAATTTTCAAAATAAACAAAAGTTTTAGTAACAGTAATACTATTTTAATCATGTTTAGAATATATGAAATATATATTCTAAGCATGGTTTTGCAATAAAAAAACCTAATTCACTATGTTATTTATTTATAATTTAAACAGTTTAAAATTTTATTATTGATTTTTATAGACAAATTCTCTAAACAACCACAATATCTTGATATCATTAATCTAAAAAGTTATCTGTATTATTTGTAGTTTTAAAAAATTTAGAATTATTAGATAATAATTTAAATAACTAATTAGTTTTTTTTATTAAAATATAACCTACTATCAAAGATTTTAATATTTTTTATATTATATTATAATATTCTATTTTTTAATTTTGGCAATTTTGCAGCAAATTTTATTAAAGTTGTTTGTTATTTAAAAATTTTGTATAATAAACTTCATATAATTGATATTTAAGCTAATATTACAAATATATAATAGCTTAAAGTGCAGATCAAAATATATAGTTTGCAGCTATTAGATGAAGTATTGCCTTTTATTTAGACTATATAAATTATTTATACTATAAATATTTAATACAGTATATTAAGTTTTGTAAGTTGAACTGACTACAATAAACTCTTTCTGCTTATCACTTGTACACAAAATTTCGTCCAAAATATTTTTACTTTTTCTCAATTTACACAAATTTTATTAAGTTAACAACCTTTTGACACTTAATAACAATTGTTCACTACTGTTTTTACATATATCTATAAAGTTTCAAGCCTTTATCTCTTATCATTCTTGAGATATCTAATTTTAAAGGACAGATGGACAAAACACTGTCCTCTTCCCAATTTTTTGCTCTTCTTGGCAAACTGGGCTTAATAATATACCAATACCTCATAATTGAATTTGCAGAACTCATCTCTGGCTTCAAAACAAGCTATAGTACATCAAATTTGACCTAAAATTGATCGTTTTAGGATCAAAAATATCA